ACATGCCAAGCCTCTAGACAAAGCTTCATGTCTTTAACCAATTACAGGCCAAAGAATCTTTAAACCCACCTATAACCTGTAAGCCCCCGCTTCGAGATGGCCCACCTTTTCAGGCCAAACCAATGTATGCCTCCCACGTATTGATTTATGACTTCACCTGTAACCCGTCTCCCTGAAATGTATAAAACCAAACTGTAACCCAACCTCTGCGAGTCCACTGCTCAAGACCTCTTGGGCGTGGCTCCGGGTCATGGTCCTAGAATCTGGCTCACAGTAAATCTCCTTAAAATCACTTTACAGAGTTTGGTCTCTTTTTCCGTTGACACACGTCACATAACTCAAGTGTACTACTTAATGATAAGCCAATAATGGCTAAAACGCACCAAAATGGAGGCCAAAGGCACACTAAACCACCAGCATTTATCCATCCCAAGAGGACACAAAAGACATGTTCTAGAAAGTAAACCTCCAACGAAACTTAAAATTACAGAATTTTAGAGCTGGAAGGATCTTAAGGTTACGTAATACTACACACCCTAATTTTTCAGAAGTGAAAATTGAGCCTGAGAGGCAGCAACTTGGTCAGTGTACCCCAAAGAGTTAGGGACAAGCTATAAACTCACTCCTAACTCATGTCCTATACTCTTTCCACTATCCTGGGCACTGCCTCATCTACTATGACCCCAAAATTTTATCTAAGGCTCTCATTTCTACCTCTTAACCACCAAATCTTTATAAATAAAGCACACAGTTTGGTTGATCTACAGTTTCACTTGCCCTTTAATCCATTCACTCCCCAGAAATGCTAAGAGAAACAGCTGCCATTAGGAAGACATAGGAGGCAGCAGGAAGAAGCCTCAGGCAAAACAGCCAGCTCACAGCAGTTTTCTGTGGTGTCTTGGCTAGCTTATCACACAGCTGTCCTCCTTAACCTCAGCAGGGAACAGATAAGGAGGACTAAAGGGGAGGGGGGGCAATGCCTCCACTCTAGAGAACTAGGTTCTCTGGGCCAGGAGTCCTCCAGGCTCCTTGGGGGGCGGAAGCAGGATACAGAAGAGCCCCACCAACAGATTAATACCTGGGCAAGCTACTTACTCTCTCTGAGTCTCTATTTCCTTTATCCACAAAAAAAGGAATACAGTTTGAGCTCAGGAGTTCGAAACCAGCCTGAGCAAGAGCGAGACCCCGTCTCTGCTAAAAATAGAAAGAAATTAATTGGCCAACTAAAAATATATAGAAAAAATTAGCCGGGCATGGTGGCACATGCCTGTAGTCCCAGCTACTCGGGAGGCTGAGGCAGAAGGATCGCTTGAGCCCAGGAGTTTGAGGTTGCTGTGAGCTAGGCTGACGCCACGGCACTCTAGCCCGGGCAACACAGTGAGACTCTGTCTCAAAAAAAAGGAATACTATTAATACCTTATCCCTCCTATGGTAATTGAAAGCACTAAATGGGATAATATTTCAAAGAAGAAAGCCGAACAGTGTGCTTCCCACTATACCCTAGGTGTGTGATGGGGTCTCCTTCCTAGATTAAAAATAAAAGTAATTAAATAAAAAATAAAACAGCTCCTCAGTCACACCGGTCATATTTTCAGTGTTCAACAGCCACATGTGGTTAGTATACTGGACAGCACACACAGAACATTTCCATCACCACAGAAAGTTCTATTGTACAGAGCTATCCTAGAGTCTTCCTCTCCCTCATCGAAGTCCAGACTGCAACAAACAGAAGTCCTGCAGAATTTTCTTCCTAAATTGCTCTCTCATCCACAGCCTCTGCCACTGCCTTAAAGCTCTCACTTCTCTGACACTGAAAGCCATCTGCTTCTAGTTCCAGCCCTCTAGTCCCACACCGTCTGCAGAGGGACATTTCTGACACACGTGAACTTGTCTCTTCCTCAACAGCTTTCCATTACTGTGAAATATACATTTAGTCTTCAACCCCCTCCTCCTGTCACACAACTCCTAAAATCCTGGGAATCTCCAGAGTGATCTTTTTGTTTGCTAACGTGTTTACAGCCCCTAGGCAGCTTCAGGATGGGGACTGGTCACCAGAAAGACCCAGGCAGGATTAGAAGGCTGGGACTTTCAGCCCCACCCTGTGGGAGGGCGGGGGTGTTGAGGCTAAACTGATCGCTGACGGCCAGTGCTTTAACCAACCATGCCTGTGTAATGAAGTCTCCATAAAAGAACCAAGAGGACAGGTTCGGAGAGCTTCCGGATAGCTGAACACCAGGAGGTTCCTGGAGGGAGGGCAAGGAAGCTCCTCGCCCCTTCCTTCCGCTTCACCTGCCTTAGGCATCTCTTCATCGGTATCATCTGTAATATCCTTTATAATAAACCAGTAAACATGTTTCCCTGAGTTCCGTGAGCTGCTCTCGCAAATTAATCAAACCTGAGGAGGGGGCTGCGGGAACCCCGACTTACAGCTGGTTGGTCAGAAGTTCTGGAGGCCTGGACTTGCGACTGGTGTCTGAAGGGGGAACAGTCTTGGAGACTGAGCCCTCAACTTGTGGGATCTGACACTATGTCCAGGTAATGTCCAGACTGAACTGGAGGACACCCAGTTGGTGTCCGGCACAGAACTGCTTGCTTGCTGCTGGGGACAAACCCCTCCCGCTTTGGTCACAGAAGTCTACAGATTGTTGCTGCTGAGTGAGAGAACAGGGAAAAAGCACATGGAGCGTTGTTTTCCACACTCACATTCCTTCAGGCCCCCAGCCCAGCCTGATCTTCGCCCCTCTCGGAGACTCAGCCTGTCCTCGACCTGCCCTGCTACGTTCCACGTGCATCTCCCGTGTGGACGTTAGACACACAATCACCCAGATGAAGCTCTTGCAGGGGTGGAGAACCTGCGGCCTTGGAGACACATGTGGCCTTCTGGATCCTTGAGTTCGGCCTTTTGACTGAATCCAAATTTTACAGAACAAATCCCTTTATTAAAAGGATTAAAAGGAATTGTTCTGTGAAGTTTGGGTTTGTTCGAGGGGCCCCACTTGGAGATGTGGAGGGCCACATGTGGCCTTGAGGCCACAGGTTCCACACCCCTGCCAAAGGCGGCACATGCCCTATGGCAAAAGGACAAAACCTCACGAAAAAGTACCCATGTCAATCCCCAGGCTCAGACAGCAAAGAGATGGAACACCAGTCTTCTGTGCCTGGGCCTTCAGAAGCTTAGCCATGCTCCAGGAGGCCTCGGTCCCCACTGTCATCACCTTGGTCCAGGTCACCCCCATCTCTCACAGGGTCTCACTTCCTCCAAACAAGTCTCCCCACCACAGCCAGACTGACTGTTCAAAAGCATAGGCACAAACTACCTCTCCTCTCCTCCTCAAGTCCCGCGACAGCCTCCCAGTCCCTTAGAGTGTCAAATCCTCCACCCGGCAGCAAAGCTGGCTTGCTCCAGTCCCGACTGGGCCGCGGGCCCTCTTTCTTGCCACTCCCCAAACCTTGCGCTATGCAAAACTCCCAGATCCTTCCATTCTGGTCTCTACTGGGAACACTTCCTCACTCCTCCCTGCTGACCAACTCCTACCTTCCTTCAGGGGAGTTGGATATTTCTCAGGGCGATTGGCAGAAGTAATCATTCGAGAAAGGGCCAAGGGCACGGTAAGCCTCAGGGAGCAAAGCTGGGTTCTCTTCGCTTAAGACTCCCTCCCACACTCCCCTTGGAACGTTTTTCACCAAGAGAGACAAAACATCTCCAGCCACCTCCCCACCCCCGATGAAGCGCTGCTCCAGCCACAAGTCTCCGATTCCAAAACTGGTGTGCTTTGGCACGCCTCTCTGCCTTTTCACGTGCTGTCTGTCCCGTTTGCCTGGAATGACCCTGGCAAACTCCTCCTCAACTTCACCCTTTGAGAATCAGCTCACCTGTTACCTATCACCTCCTCCATCATCCGTCCAAGAAGCCCTCCTTAACACTTACCCCTTCCCAAGAATCCCACCTGGTCTCAGCTAGGCTCCCACCAGGTAAAAAAGACTACTGTCTAACTGATCCTTCTAACTAGGCCCTGACAGCAGTCTCTTTCTCCAGTGCCAATCCTGGAACCTATCAGGAGTTCAAAAAAATGTCAGTGCCATGAATGAAAAAATTAAGACCCAGAGACAACCTGAAAGCATCCTGATGTGCCCTCACCCCTCACTCCTTACTTCTGTCTCCCTTCACCACATCAGATCACCTGTCCTCTCGACTGTCCAGCGAGGCCCTGAGTCTCACCAGAGCATTAAAAGTTAAACACTGTCCCTGCTTTGGCCTCAATGCACTAGTAAACACAAAGGCACATGCGTGCACTGAGATCACACCCCACGTTTGGTTATAAAGTGGTCCTCAAGCGATCTGTTACATGCATCTGCTTCTTTTAAATTATCCTTAAGAATTCACAAACCCTGGGAATACTTTCACAGATACCCACAGGTCCACGGGCCTCGAGTTTGAGAAACTCAGCCCTGAGATCAGCGCAGAGAGGGAGCTAAAGGGTCTGAGCTCCTCAGGGCGGGTGGCACAGGCACAAGAGGAGGCTGAGAGTGGTGGGATGGGGGCCCCAGGGATCTCGGTGGGGCCAAGGACATATGCACCGAGGGCTTCCACCCAGGAAAGGTGGGGAGCCCTTGGGACGGAGGGCCCTGAGGGAATCCTGAAGGTTTCCGGAACCAAGAGTTCTCAGGGGTCTCAGGGCCCTAGAGCGGCCGAGTCCAGGAGACATCTTTTAGAGTTTCGGGGTTCGAGGGTCTCGAAGGCTGTCGAGGCCCAGAGGCGGCCGAAAACTCCCAGAGGGTCTCGGGAGCCAGGGCTCCTGGAGGTGCCGGGCGGATCCTGAGGGGGTCTCGGGGTCCCGAGGGAATGTTGAGAGGTGTGAGAGGAACCGAGGTGTGTCGGGGTCCTGAAGTGGCCCCCAGCGGCCAGGGGCCCTGAAAGGCCGAGGCAGACCCTGAGGTCTCGGGGTCCCCAGGGGCTCTCGATGCAGGGCTCCCGGGTCTGCCCAGACCCGCCCCCTCACCTGCAGCGCCGACGAGACGCTGGTCCGAGCTCCCGCCGCCTCCTCCTCCGCGGTCGACGATGCCGCGGGGTCTCGGCGGCCGCGGGCCCCTCACGCTGGGCGGAGCCGGAGGGGACGGTCCTCGGGGACCGGACTGCGCGCGCACCCGGTGGGGGAGCCGGAGCCCGAGCGGACGCCGTACCGCCTCCAGCCGCCGCTCCACGTTAGCCGGCCACGGCGCCGCCGCAATGCCGTTCCCCGCGCGCCCACCCCTCGCCGCGCGAAGGTTCCGCCCAGAAACCAACGTCCCCGGCGGCCCCGCCCCGGGAGGAGGGCGGAGCCAATGTGCTCGCCCCGCCCCCGTGCCGCCGGCCCCGCCCACAGGTGTCCGCCGGGGGGGGCCCCCCCCCCGCAGTCTCCGGCGCAGGCGCAGTCGAGGGGACGGAGGGCTGCCGGGCCTTGCCAGCTGCGTGCGAGCTCAATCTGTCGCAGGCTGCCGCCGGCTCTCAGTTTACTGATCTGCGAATGGGGGCGGGCGCACGGTGGAGGACGTGGCGTGCATTCGGTGCGGTGGAAGCGCCGCTCTGCAGCTGCGTCCTGTGCCACACTCACGCAGTCTCCATCCTCAGCCCCAGGCGAGCCCGGACCTGGGTCGGGTCTCAGTCCCCAAACTGTCCCCCCCCCAGTCTTGCTCTCTTTCCTTCCAGAGAGCTCGTCACTCTCTGAAATTCCGTACACTTGTGACTATCTCTCTCCCTTCCTGTGAGAACCGGCACCTTGTCCGTCCTGTCCCCCTCGGGTCCCCAAAAGCGAGCGCCGGGCTGGGCACACCGTGGGTGCCCAGATGTGAACGTCTCCCCCGGCGCTCTCCCCGCATCAGAAAACACTCTCCTTCGGAAGCTGAGAGTGGGACCAGCTCAGGTTCCAATCCAGTGAGGCCCTGTGACTCCTGCGTCTGTAAAACGGGGCGATCACCCCCCTCTGGGGGTGTTGAGAGGACTCGGTGAGGCCCTGCGTGGGCGGGCAGCGGGACAAGTGTCCCTTGGTGATCTTACTACGTGGGTGGTCCCTCCGCCCCTTTCTCTGCCCTTGGAAGTCTTTCCCTTCTCCAAACACGACCCAGTCGAATCAAAAGTCACTTCCTCTTTCCAGCCTCCCCCGCCCTGCCCAAGCCAGAGTTAATTATTACTTCCTCTCTCCTTAGCGCCCTTTTTTCTGCCTGATTTTAAAGTTGACTGGTAACATCTCCCCCCACCCCAGCTCACAAGGAAGCTCGCATTTTGTGATAGAAGCTGGTCTTGTGAGTTTCAGCAGCCTGTGAAACTGGGTGGCCCAGAGCCCTGAACACTGTGGGGGCAGTGACTTGGGGGGTGGAGAAGGCAGTCGCTGAGCTCCTGTGAGGAGCCAGGCACCTGCCTGGCGCTGGGCATGTGTTCCTTTATTTAGTCCTGCAACACCCTTATGAGGAAGGCGTCTTCGTCTTCGTTATTATTCCAATTTAATAGAAGGGGAAGCTGAGGCCGGGAGAGGTCCTCCAGGCTGTTCCACGCCCCAGTCCACACATTTAACCCCTGCATACAGCTCCCCATCCCCTGGAGGTGGGATTTAAATGCAACACATTTCAGTTCACGAGCACCTGCTCCTGTGCTGAGTGCTAGGACCCCGCACCTGTGGGAGACAGGGCCCCTGCCCTCAAGGGGCCCCCCAGCCCCAGCATGTACCTCGAGAAATGGGAGCCTATGGGCTAGATGCGGCAGAGGCCAGAGCCCCCCCCACGGTGCAGGGGCCCCAGGTGGGACGTCCTCTAAAGCCAAGGGCAGGGAACGGGAGTAGTCACGACCTCCGGCGAGTTCAGCCCATTCGAGGCCTGGGCCGAAGTCTCATCCCCTCCACCCAAAACTCAGCTAAGCAGCCTTGCAAAGACAAGGACAGCCGAAGGGACGCCTTGGGAACAAGGGACTCTCCTTTCCCCCTATACCCACGAGAGCCGGCTTCTATCAGGTTGTGGAAGATTACTGAGGGGCACTGCCCCCAGCCACCTTGACCAGTCTGATGGGTAAGTGGATGGATCTGGCAGGTTGGCAAGTGGCTGGCGTGGTGATGGTGTGTGCATGCGTGTGACTTGTCACTGGGTGCTGCAGGGTGTTCGCGTCCTAGCCTTCTCATGGCCAGTGTGAGCATGTCTCACGCAGCATGTGTCAAACAAATGAGTGAATATGTGTGTGCGTGAAACAACGAGGCTTGTTCCCCAGATCCCAGGGACCAGACCCGATTCATCTCTGTAGCAAAGGTGCCCTTGGGGGCCTGCGGCAGCGCTGAGCAGTAAGGCATTAGCACATTTGGAATGCCCATACTGCTTATTGAGCACCTACTATGTACCAGGCATGATTCTCTAAACTCTTCCCAGGCACCTTTCTTCGTGCTCACTGCCACCCTATGCAGTAGGTATTATTAATCTCCTTTAACAGACTGAAAAAACAGGCCCAGAAGACTTAAAGTAACCAATCCGAGTTGCTTAGAATTGCTGCTGAGTGCTGTCTGGCTACAGAAGGGGCTTTGCACTGTTAGAAAGGAGATAACTGACAGATTCACAGGCCAGCACCTAGTAGGACACTAAGCACTATATGACAATCCTTCCAGCCTACAGAGGAAGTTGTTGCTTTATTGCACGGAAAGACCCACGTCACACATAAATGCCCTGCACTGGTGTGTAGGCCAGGCTTGCACACATCGTGTGCCCTTGGACCGCACCCCACAGAGCTAACACGAACCACACACTATATACCCTCACACGGCCTGTGTCGTTACACGTACGTGCTGTAAACATGCCAACGGAAAAGGAACTAATTAAGCCTTTTGGGGCCTCCACCCATGCCACCCATGCCCATGTCAGTTTCCTACAGAAACTCCTCTGCTGCTCCCGCCTCTGGGCAGGCTGGCAGAAGGACTGTGATGCCAGTGCTGGGCAGCAGTTGGGGGGGGTGGCTGGTAGGAGAAGGGAGGAAGGCTGGCACCTTGGAAACTGGCCTGGAAGCTGGCACCAGGCTGCTCTGAGGTCCCACTGACCAACCTATGTCCCCTACCCCCTGCAGCCATGGTAAGGCCAGGAGGACTGGCAGAGCACTGCACAAACAACCGAATGTGCACTAAGCACTCACTGTGCCGGGAGCTAAGGACACCTTCCCTCATGGCTCTGACAGCGCACTCGACTGGGAAACCGACAACAGACCCAGGCATCAGGGCGTGATGAGGTTATGAGGAAAGATGAAGTTGTGCAAAGAACAGATGCTGCTACTAAATTAAAAGGGCAAAGCACAGAATGGAAAAAATTTGTAAAGCATATGTCTGACCAAGGACCTAATTTGGAATATGTGAAGAGCCCACAGTTCAATAATAAGGTAAATAACCCAATAAAAAAAACTGGGTAGAAGATTTGACACATGCTTCTCCAGAGATATATGGATAGCAAATAAGCACCTGAAAAGACCCTCAATATTATTATTCATTAGGGAAATGCAACTCAAAACCGCAGTGAGATGCCGCTACACACCACCAGAGTGACCAAGGTGAAAAGATTTGACCATACCAAGAGCTGGCAAAGATGTGGAGGAACTGGACTTCTCGCCCCCTGCAGAGAGGAATGTAGAGTGGTACAACCACTGCACGCCTATCACAATGGCTAGAATGAAAATAGTGACAACACCGAGTGCCAGTGAGGATGCAGAAAAACTGGATCACCCGTACATTGCTAGAGGGAATGTAAAATTGTGCAGCCACTCTGGAAAATAGTTTGGCCATTTCTCTAAAAACTATACATTCAGCCGGGCACAGTGGCTCACACCTGTAATCCCAGCACTTTGGGAGGCCAAGGTGGGAGGATCGCTTGAGGCCAGGAGTTTGAGGTTACAGTGAGCTATGATTGTGTCACTGCACTCCAGCCTGGGTGACAGAGACTCTGTCTCTATTAAAAAAATAAAAAATGAAAAGTAAATATGAACTTAACCATACAACCCAGCAAGTGTGCTCTTGCGCATTCATTTCAGAGAAATGAAAACTATGTTCATATAAAAACTTGTACACAAATGTTCATAGCAGCTGTGTTCCTAATAGCCCAAAATCAGAAACAACCCAAATGTCCTTCAGTAGGTGAATGGTCAAACAAATGGTGGTAGATTTATACTACAAGATACTACTCAGCAGTCCAAAGGAATGCGCTATTGATACATGAAATAGCTTGAATGGATCTCAAGGAAATTATGCTGCATGAAGAAAAAACAATCTATAAAGATTACATACTTTATGATTCCATTTATATAACAGGTGTTTTTTTTGAGATGGAGAACAGATCAGTGATTGCTGGGGTTAGGGGCTGTGTAGCAGGAGGGGGCCTTGTGGAGCTGGAACAGTTCTGTATCTTGATTGTGCAGGTGGTGACCCAAAGCTACATGTGTGATGAAATTGCATAGAACTACACACACACACACACACACACACACACACACACGCACGCACGCACACACAAATGAGTGCCTGCAAAGCTGGTGAAATCTTAATAAGCTCTGTGTATTGTACCAATATGAATGTCCCGGTTTTGATATAATTATGCTGTAGTTATACAAGAGCGGAGGCTGGGTGAAGATGCATGGGACTTCCCAGTACTCTGCTTTTTCCAACTTCCTGTGAATCTGTAAGTATTTCAGAATAAAAAGTATTATTTTAAATGGTAAAAACACTCTGGAAAACAGCTTGGAAGTTTCTTTAAAAATTAATCATACAGCCACCATATGACCAGCTATCCTCCCACAAGAAATGAAAGCAGATGTCCACAGAGACCTGTGCATGAGTGTTCGTAGCAGCTTTATTTGTAATAGCCCCAAACTGGGAACAAAACAGGTCAATGATGGATCACTAAGGTGTATAATGTTCATACAATGGAATACTTCTCGGCAAGAAAAGGGGGCAAAGTGTTGATGCCTGCGACAACGTGATGAATCCCAAAATATTTATGCTGAAAGAAGCCAGATAAAAAAGAGAACATACTGTGTGGTTCCATTTATATAAAACTGTAGAGAATGCAAACTAATCTTTAGAGAAAGAATGCAGATCAGATTACCAAGGGGCATGAGGAAAGTTTTGAGGAAGACGGATATGTTATCTCCATTGTGATGGTGGATTCATGGGTGTCAAAACTCATCAAATGTATATTTTTGTTTGTTTTAGAGACAGGGTTTTGCTCTGTCACCCAGGCTGGAGTGCAGTGTCCTGATGATAACTCACTATAACCTTGAATTCCTGGACTCAAACCATCCTCTTGCCTCAGCTCCCAAGGAGCTGGGACTACAGATGCACCACCACGCCCGGCTGGTTTTATTTTTATGTGTAGAGACAGGGTCTCGACATGTTGCCCAGGCTGGTCTCGAACTCCTGGCCTCAAGCAATCCTCCTGCCTTGGCCTCCCAAAATGTTGGGATCAAAATGTATGTTTTAAATAGGTGCATCTTACTGCGCATCAGTTATACCTCAATAAAGTAGAAAAACCAAGCTGGGTGAGGTGAGAGTGGGGTGAGGGACAGGTGCTGTTTCACATAGGTGATCCTGTCCAGGACTGTGCTCTGACAGCTCCTCTGTGATTGCTGTTCTTCCAACCAGATGGGTGGCCTCCCGGTCTCCTAGGCCTGGGGCTCAAGCCTCTGTTGGACTGAATTGAATGACATACCTTTGATTGGTCTAATCTCAGAAGAAATCACCTGCTTATTTGGGAGCAGCCTTCCTCATCTGACCCTCCTTGCAAAGAAGGGGTCAGGGGAGCTCAGACCTCCTTGCTCCAGGTCTCACG